TGTATCCCCAGCATACAGCACAGTGCCTGGAATACATTTGGAGTCCAACACATGTTTTTGAGTAAAAGAATAAGTGAATAAAACTCTTTCCTCCAAGCATTGTTCTGCTAGAAGCATGCTAACAGAATGAAATTGCAGGACTATTTCTTACTCTCAAGTACTTCTTGTGAAATAATGTGCTAATTAAAAGTTTTATTAACTATAAAGGCAACATTTTTTGCATTTCCCATTGTTTTCTGTTTAAATATATTGAAATTAGAACTTTGGTGCTAAAAGGAAACTTTCTTCTTACTCATAGGCACAACTTTTTTCCTCTAATAACTTTTTTTTTCCATTAAGTTTTTCTTCATTATAGGTTTTTGTTATCCCTTTGCCTTCGTGTATTTTCCTTTTCTTATTTTGGTTTCTGGGTCCTGACATTATGAGGTATGAATGTCCCTCCCCTGCCCTCAAGGAGGCAAAGATTTGCACTACACTTCTGTGGGAGGCTTTCAAACCAATTTAGGAGGTAAAATGAGGCCTCGGTCAGGCCCTCTCTCCTCTGTTTTTCCAGGCCTAAGTAGATGTGCCCTCTTGGCCCATTAGAATTTTTCTTTGGTGCCTAATGGTCTAGGCCAAATATGTCTCTCCAGGCTGTCTTAATCTGCAAACGCACGATGCATAAATCTCTAGCCCATGCAGTTCTATGTTGGTAAATAAAAAATGGAAAAAGATATTGAAATTGCTATTGGAATTAAAAAAAAAAAAAAAAAAAAAACTCGAGAAAAGCAGGACTGAAAGTGCCCGTTTGATTGTAATGATAAATTAGAAGGCCTTGAGTAAAATCACTAACAGCCTGGACCTGGGCCCAGCATCCTAAAGTATTGTCAGTTGGGGAACTATTGCAAGATCCTCTTCCATTTCAAGTATCTGTTTTTTTGTTTTTTAAAATTTTCTCTGCAATGTATAATTAGAGACCATATCTACATTAACTGGTAAACTCCTACAGAAAAGTAGGGTTTAACCATCGTATTTTGTATGCACAACCAATTATTGAAAAGCCCCATGGTCTTTCTCTAGAACTCTGCCCCCATCCCAGGCATGCCTGGATTGGAAAGGGCCTAGAAAGATAATTTATGTCATGGATTAAGGCGAGGTTTCAGCCAAGCGTTCCCAGTGAACAATTAGACAGAAAGGCAGGATGGGTTAGGAAAATGAACACTGAGGTTGGTATCAAACACTCCATCACTGGCTTAATCACTTGTGACCAGTCCATTTTCACAGCGTCTAGCTTAGATCGTGTAACAGGAAGATTATTTTATTGACTTCATTCTTCCCAAGGTAAAATCATGGAGACTAGTAATCCCCTCCATTATTCCTTGTGCATTAGAAGCAGTAAAAATAACCACAAGAAGAGGGAGAGCAGCATTGTCCTTCTCATATAAATTGCAGCTCATCCAAGCAGAAAGGTCAAAGTAGAGGAGGACAAGACATAGTGGACTCTAACTTTTCATGTCATACATGCACTGCACCCAGATTTTTGAGAGAGTACCCGCAGTATATATGTACTGCTGTCATTAGCTAATATTGCAAAGGAACAACTCAGTGTAGACCATCTGATGAACGTTTATGTAATTCTAAATAGCAAATAAGCATGAAAACTGCATGTTTTTTTTGTTTGATTTCTTGTTAGATTGTTTTTTGTTTGCTTTCTTTTAAATTTTGTAATGAGCCTAATCAGGATTTCTCAGCCATGGCACTAATGACATTTTGAACCGGATAATTCATTGTTGTGGGAGGCTACCTTGTGCATTATAGAATGTTTAACAGTATCCATGGCCTCTACCCACTAGATGCCAGTATCACCCCCTGGCCAGCTGTGACAATCAAAGCTGTCTTCATACATTGCTAAACTTACCCTGGGGGCAAAATTATCCCCTCATCCCCATTTGAGAACCACTGTTCCAAACGAATACATTAGGAGTGCAATTTGTGTCAAATATGCCACCTTCAATGTGAAGTTTCTTTGAAGGGATTTCTTTACGTCAATTTAAAGACAGCTTAGCTGCTATCTAAAATGTCAGCAGTTCGAATTCACCAGCCACTCCTTGGAAACCATATGGGGCAGTTCTACTCTGTCCTATAGGGTCGCTATAAATCAGAATACACTCCAGGGCAACAGGTTTGGTTTTCATTTTTAGTTAGTTAGAACCAGATAATATAATCAGTATGGACACTTACCAGGCACTGGTAAACTGCAGCATTTAACAATGTGTTATAAACAAATGGGTTAGGACACCATTGTCAGTCTCTTCCCACTATGGAACTCCCATTATTACTTCAAGATAAGGGCTATATGACCATCTGATATAAAAACTGTGTGAGGGTACAGTGTCATCAGTTATCAATTTTAGTGAAGCATAATTCCTTTTTCATTTATACAACAAAAACTAATTAAAATGACATTTTCTTCTCACTCCCAATGGATTCTCTTAGAAACCTTCTGCACCTCATTCTGGAAACTCTTAGGTAAGAAACCATATAACATGAAAACAAATAAGGCAACTGGGGTTGTATAGCTCTAAAAGGAGTAGTAATGGCAAGAAGAGAATAGTAGTTGTCTTTAAACACTTGAAGGGTCTCATGTAAATAAGTGTTAGATTGGTCTATGTGGTAAAATAAAAAAAGTAGGTTTAAGATACTGTGGAATAATAGAAAAAGAAATAATCGTCTCTTCCTGGGCGTTTTTCTAAAGGCTTCAAAGAAGTAACACTGAGTGAATGCTTGGTGGGTTTAAACATTACCCTGTAATCCCATGAGAAGAGGGATTGCATTTCTCTTGTTTAACTCTATATGCCCAATCCCAACACATCCCTATCTCAATAAAGAATTAATAAGTGAATAAGGAAGTGACATGATCAGACTTCCATGTCAGATGGCTCTCATTGCATCAATGTAGATGATGAATTTAAAAGGTAAGGTTGAATGCAGAGAGATTAGTTAGGAGATTAGAAGAGAGGAGATAGAAAATATTAGAAAACTGAGGAAAAAGATAATCTATAAATACTCCATATGTAAAATCAACATAACTTGAGAATGACTTTGTTGAGTGGCAGGGGATATTGACAAGTTGTGTGGACTAGGGAGAGAAAGGGTTGAGAAGGTTGGTGAAATCATATTTCAAATGATCAATGAGAAAGGAAGAAAGTTCATGAGTTCAGATATATTGGGAACCTTATGAAAAATGGGAAGAGAACAGGAGAGAATGTAAGCATAGAAGGCAAAGGAAGGAAGAATTTCTAAGCTGACGGTGTACTATTAATGATAACTAATACTCACTAAGCATATGTGGTGTGCTAAGTACTTTGAATGGAGCCCTGGTGGCTCAGTGGTTAAGAGTTCAGCTGCTAACCAAAAGATCGGCGGTTCAAATCCACCATCTGTTCCTTGGAAGCCCTATAGAGCAGTTCCTCCCTGTCCCACAGGGTCACTAAGAGTCAGAATTGACTCGCCGGCAACAGGTTTTGTTTTGTTTTTTAAGTACTTTCTACTATTATCTCGTTTAAATTTCCCACTGACCGATGTGCTAATAAATATCCAAATTTTGCAGATGATGAAATTGAGATGAAGAGAGATTAAGCCACTTTCCCGAAAACATACTGCTAGTCAGTTCTTAACCAGTTTGATCTACTGTGCTAAATGATATAGAAGATTCATCTACGATAAAGATGGCGTAAACACAGTATGGCAAGATCCATGGGAATTGAATGTTAGGCGATTGTTGGCGACCTTCCAGACAGCGGTTTATCATGAGATAGGAAAGTAGACAACACTTTGCATAGTTTAGTGCTCAATAGATGTTAAGGAAGAAGAGGAGGCAGCAGTTACTCAACTGAAGAGGTGGGAAGATTATGGAGAATAACATGTAGATGATGCACAATTAAAAAAGAGAGAGAGCAAGACCTGTACTAGTCTATAGCCTCAGGGGAAGGTGCCAGAAGATAGTGATAAAATAAAGATAAAATAGTGAGTTGAATAACCTATGGAACAAAGACGGGGAGCAAATTTGAAGAATTACAATCGTAAATTACCCTTGGGAAGGAAGATCCTTATTTTATAGGAAAATAACTTAGGACCACAGAGAAGTAAGTGGTGAGCCCAAGGTCACAGAGCCAATTAAAGAGTAGCGTGGAGACCGGAGTCCAAGTTTTCTGATTGCCAAGACTTTCCACTAGGCCTCCCAGCTACTCTTGCTGAATCATCATCGGCTTGTTACTTATCCCCAATCCAAAGGGAGTTATTGTAGTTAATGAATAAATACCTTATGGTAAAACCCTCTGTAAATGCACAGCTCTACAGAAACATGAAAGACGAGTTGACCTTTGAGTTTCCTTCACAACTCTATCCCCCCTGCAAGCTCTTTAACAAGGAATACTGGATTTTCTTGACTACAAAATGCCTTCCAAATACTGCAGGTACCTACATCAATGCCAAGTAAGGACTAAGGTCACCCTCAGGGAATTTCTAGCTGAATAAGGGCTCCACTAAGCCTTGAAATCAAAATGCTTCTGGTAGGTAAATGGGGTACAGATGGGAAATCAACCTAGTGTGTGACTAGGCATGATTTAGAGTAACTATTATTGATATGGCAGATCCTAGCAGGCAACCTCAAGAGAGCTTAGATTTCACTTGCAGTGCAAGTAGGTGGAATGAGTAATTAGGTTTTTGACTTTTGAATTTCCTGCACCTCGCCAGTGGTTATTACAGCCATAATCTGGGCCATGCGTATTCCAGGGAGGTTTTTGATTTAAGGATATATATTTTTTTGTGGTGGAAGGACAAGCCATATTTAATGTATCATCTACACATAAGATTTTATGTAGATAATTTTAAGGTGATGAAAAATTATTACATGATATGAAATATAAATTTTTAACATTGGAGGAATGACAGTGATCTGTTTCAAGTACTTACTTTATCTTGGGCAAACATTGAAGTCCTTGATTAATGTTTAACTAGAAGAAGTTTACTTGGTTCAAGTAAAGGATCAGTTTCGGGGTTCAGGCTGTTGTGTCTTGATGATTAGAAATTAGGCTACAAGGAGAAGCCCCCAAAGCCAAGGGCAGTGGACATAACAGAAAGTTGGAGCTGAACCTGACCTCTAAAGAATGTGGACCGGATATAAGATCTTAATCCTTTCTTATCTTACCACAGAAATTTGGATGGAAAAGCAGTATTTATCTCAAAGACAAGTGAATCCAGAAGCTTATTTGCCAAGGAATCACACCATTTTGGAAGGCACTCGATTCAAAAGAGCTATTTTCAAAGCGCAATACTGTAGACATTTTGGTTGTTGTAAAGACAGAGATGATGGCTGTGCCGTTCAGTACTATGAGATGGATGCACTGTGTTACTGTGATAAATTCTGTGAAAGGGAAAATTCTGATTGCTGTCCTGATTACAAGCGCTTTTGCTGGGAAGAGGAAGAGTGGTCTGATCACACACAGCCTTGGTATCCAGAAGGTAGGCTTTGGAAAAGTGTGTAAGCATTATTCCAGCTATAATAAAAAGATCTGACAAACTCTCTCTCTCTCTCTTTCTATTTTCTTTCTCCCTTCTTGTTCTTCTTCTTCTTTTTTTTAATGAATGTACTTCTATTGTGATTGCCAAGATAAATTTCTTTGGATCATTAATGTGCTTTGTTTTAGATGCAGGGTACCTGCATTATACCAGTGCATTCAGAAATGTTCTGGTCTGATGGTTGTGAGTGCTGGTTGGGAACCTTTTCTGCACACTCTCTGAATATAAGGATTACTTAAAACTCTTTCTTTGTAAAATGCATTGATATTAGGGCTGTCAGGCTGTTTGGAGTGTAATCTCTTAGAAAATCTCACGAAAATCACAAGCCTGAACATCTGCAGATTCATGAAATATTTTATTTATTATTTCATGGAGCTTATGGATGTCCTAAGATGAGAACCTGTGATATAGCAGTGCCATTAAAATCAGGGCAAAAAACAAAATGAAGTCAGCTACCCTCCTTGCCTAAACAATACCAAACAGGTTCTGCATGCATGTTTTTGCTTTGCTTTGTTTTACTATGCTAGTCTGGAACCCTTTAAACTATTTAAAGGAAAAGAGGGCTTCATATAAAATAATTGTAAAGGGGTAAGACTGAGTGGATAAATAAAAATAATTCATAAGGAGGGTGGTGGTATTCTCGATCTTTCTCTAATTATAGGAGAATGATCATAGCTGTTGATATAACCAACCTCTGGAAAAATAAAAAACCTACAGCTACACTCCCGTTAGGCTCTGTCTGCCCTAGCAGCAGAACTTTTCTGTCTTCCATCATGTCAAATCTCCTGGGCAGAGATACAAGTTTAATCGCAGCTCTAATCACACTACTATAAATGGGCAATGGTGACTAGAAATTACATTTAGAAGACAATTGCCTTGAAATAAACTAGGAACTCAATACCCTTATTTCAAAATCAGATCTCATACATAGCATATATACGTATGTTATGTTAGAGATTTCCACAGAATTGTCTTTTATCCCAGACTTTTGTCTTGACCAATAAATAGTTCAGCAAACATTTATTTCATCCTATTAAGTGCCAGATACTGTACTGGGGACATATTCTAGTCATTCTTCAATGATTATTGATTGAATACTTCACTGCACCAGGCACTGAGAGTGGTGCTGGGCAGCAATGGGGAAGAAAACAGGCAAAGTCTCATGAAAGTCATGGTCAAGTGACGGGGGTTCATATATTTACAAATTCACTGTGGTTCATGCTCTGAAGGAAACATTTAGGGTACTGTGAGAAAGTATGACAGACATAATATTAATATGTAACATATAAAATTAGCCTGGATAGGGGAATGGGTCAGAGAGGGAAGACATTTAAGCTGAAACTTTAGGAGGGAGGAGGAGTGAGCTGGGAAAGAGTCGACATCAGAGTACTGCAGACCTGTGAGTGAGGAGCCTGGCGTGGTCTCGAAACTGGAAGAAGACCACACTTTCTAGAAAATAATGACTGGGAGATTGGGGGCTGACATGAGATGAGGTTTGAGAAGTGATTAGAAGTCAGATTATGCCAGGCCATGTAGGCCATGTTAAAGATTTAGGACTTTAGTCTGACTTATGAGAACTCATTGGAAGATGTTAAGTAGGAACAGGGTGAACTTCACGGGTGTTTGACCCAAGCAGTTAGACAGGTCTCCATGCTCAGAAAAGCCCCACACTCAGTTTAATGCTATGCTGTCGCCATTTTGAAATTCTTAATAATTTTTTTTAACAAGGAGCTCTGTTATGGATTGAATTGTGTCCCACCAAAATATGTGTTGTAAATCCTGACCCCTATGCTTGTGGTTGTACTCCCCTTTGGGAATGGGTTTCTTCTGTTATGTTAATGAGACAGTATTAGTATAGGATGTATCTTAAATCAATCTCTTTTGAGATGTAGAAGAACAGATTAAGCAAGCAAGAGAGGAAGCACCAGCAGAAATGGGAGAAGATAGATGCCATGCCACATGAAGATCACCAAGGAGCCAAGGAACAAGGGTCTTCCCCCAGAGCCAACAGAGAGAGAAAGCCTTTCCCTAGAGTTGACACCTTAAATGTGAACTTCTAGCTTCCTAAACTGTGAGAAAATAAATTTCTTTTAGTTAAAGCGACCCACTTTTGTTATTCTGTTATAGCATCACTAAGTAACTAAGACAGCCTCCAAATTTTTATTTTCTGGGCCCTGCAGATTAAACGGCCAGCTCTGAGTGCGAAAGTTAGATTTGCATTATTTAAAGATTGTACTGGAAGACTGGATTGGTGGCAGGAACAAGTGAGAGTGGGGGAATAAAGTAATAGATAATTGTAGTACTCTAGAATGCACTTCTCAAGCTGTTGTAGTAAATGACCACCTTTTTTATGTTTTTGATCCCTCATGGAAATTACTTTTGTAAAACAGAAATCATATGCTTGGATGTTGTATGATGTCAAATTGCTATAAAAGTTTCTGTATATCTGTTCTCACTATTTGTACTTAATTCTTTGTAGACCAGTAGCAAACATTTCTCAGGCCTGCACTTATCTACAGACCACATTTTTAGCAGTACTGGAGGATGAGAAAAGATGGCAGCGTAGACTAGGGTAGCAGCAGTGAGAATGAAATAAACCCTACAGATTTAGACGGGTGAAAGTAGAAACTTCATAAGACATAGTCTTGCCCTTGAGGACTTTACAAAGGAGAAAGACGCATAAGGAGATCATTTTACTACCATAAGGTAATAGCTATGGGACAAATGTACTCAATCTGATGGAACCCGGCAGGTTAGAGCTAAGATGTAAAATATGAATGGGCATTATTCAGGTGACAAAGCGAGAAGAGCAGGTCTGAGAATTCCTGGCTAAGAAAGTAGTATGCGCAGGATGAGGTTCTAAGAAACTACATGGCGCAGAATCAACAGTTAGGTAGACGGGAAAAGAGGTAGGGAAGGATTAAATCTTGTACAGCATAAGAGGCTTATGTGTGAAAGATCTCACATTGGCTTCCTTCCAGCCTAAAGATATGGCTTATTTTGGCCCATATAGACAATATTTTTTAACCAATTAAATAAACTGGATTATTTTTTCTTATCATCTGTGGGCACAGAGTGTTGAGTTAATTAAGTTTTACTCAGCATACTATCATCATTGGGCCATGAAGATTTCTCTCTTATTTGTGGTTTGTTCTACTATCTACTAATCCTCCAGCCCCTCTTTGGAAACCTTATGGGAAAGTTCTACACTGTCCTATATGGTCGCTGTGAGTAGGAATAGACTCGATGGCAATGGGTTATCTATCATCTATCTGTCTGTCTATCTATCTATCATCTAATTTTCTTTTATCTCTATGCCCCATCCCCATCTCCCTCCATAGTTAATGTGCCCTTTTTTTACTTGTATGAATCCTCTTTAAATATGTAGTCTTATTCCGTGTGCTTGAATTTTTAATTTATATAAGCTGTAACATGCTATAAACCTTATTTTGCTTCTTACTTTGTTTAGACAGTATCATGTTTTAAAGCTGTACCCATGATTCTAGATGTACACCTAATCTATGGCTTTTGACCGATGCCTGGTTTTCTGTGGTGTTTCTTCACACCACATTTATTTACTTGTTCACTTGGTGATGAGTACCTAGGCTACCTCCAGTTCCCTGCTACCACAAGAAAGTACACAGTGGACAACCTCGTATAGTCTCCTTATGTACCTGTGTGATAGAGACAAGACTGATATTGCTAGGACCAAGGTATGCATTTATTTAATGTAAATTCTGCCAGATGGCTCTCAGGAATGTCTGCATCAGTGTACAAACCCACTGGTGGTACGTAAGGTCGCCTCTACCCAATCCAACAATTGGCAGTTTTATAAGCTTTACTCATCTGATATGTGAAACACGATTTCTCATTGTCAATTTAGTTTTCATTCCTCTGATTACTAATGGATTTGAGAACCCCTTCATATTCTTGCTAAATATTAGGGTTTTCTCTTCCTGTAATTTACTTTTTCTTATCCACAGCTTTGTAATATGTCTTAATATCTGGTGCAGCAAATTCACTTACCAGCTCTTCTTTTTCCAGGTTGACTATACGGTATGTAGACATTAAATCTTCCGTAAATATTTTTGAATAACTTTACCTAGCTCCACCAAAACTTCGGCTACAGCTTTGAATAGCATTGCAAAGAATTTATAGATTTATTTGAAGATAATTGAATACTAATGTGACATCTCATCCAGGAATATTGTATGTTTCTTCACTTATTCTGATTTTTTAAAATGTCCCTAAATAGAATTTAAGATTTTCTCCATAGTGGTCTTGTATACTCTTTGTTAATTCCTGGATTTTTTTTTTTTTTAATTGTGCTTTGAGTGAAAGTTTACAATTCAAGTTAGTTTCTAATACAAAAATGTATATATACATTGTTATGTGACCCTGGTTGCTCTCCCTATAGTGTGACAGCACACTCCTCCTTCCCACCCCGAATTTCCCATGTCCATTCAGCCAGCTCCTGACCTTCTCTGCTTTCTCATCTTGCCTTCAGACAGGAGCTGCCCATTTAGTCTCATGTGTCTACTTGAGCTAAGAAGCACACTCTTCACAAATATCATTTTATGTCCCATAGTCCAATCTAATCTTTGTCTGAAGAATTGGCCTCAGGAATGGTTTTAGTCTTGGGCTAACAGAGAGTCTGGGGGCCATGTCTTCCACGGTCTTTCCAGTCTCAGTCAAACCATTAAATCCGGTCTTTTTACTAGAATTTGAATTCTGCACCCTACTTTTCTCCTGCTCCATCAGGGACTTTCTGTTGTATTCCTTGTCAGGGCGGTCATTGGTGGTAGCTGGGCATCATCTAGTTCTTCTGGTCTCAGGCTGATGGAGTCTCTGCTTTATGTGGCCCTTTGGTCTCTTGGGCTAATATTTCCCTTGTGTCTTTGGTGTTCTTCATTCTCCTTTACTCCAGTTGGGTTGGGACCAAT